CCCTTGCCCCTCCCCCCCCATTGAGCAGAGCGTGCTGGTGGAGCCGACGTCGGGCAAGACAGGCATCAGAGGTACCATTTCTCCTGTTACGAAACCGCTTGTCCTCTGTTCCCCTCTGCCCTCCCATTCCCCCTTCTCAGAGCGTTGCTGGTGGAGCCGACGTCGGGCAACACGGGCATCAGAACTACTGCTTTTCCATAGTGTCTTGTCTATCTCTGTCCCCCCATGCTCTACCATCCCCCTCATAGCGTTGCTGGTGGAGCCGACGTCGGGCAACACGGGCATCGGCTTGACCTCATGGCTCTTCTGTGTTTCCCCACTACTGACCCCTTTCCTCAGAGCGTGCTGGTGGAGCCGACGTCGGGCAACACGGGCCTCACAGGTACTATCCCTTATTCCTCTGTTCTGCACTATCCCTCCCCATTCCCCTTCTCAGAGTGTGCTGGTGGAGCCGACGTCGGGCAACACGGGCATCGGCTTGGCGTTCATAGCAGCGGCGAGGGGCTACAAGCTCGTCCTCACCATGCCCGCCTCCATGAGCCTCGAGCGCCGCGTGCTGCTCAAGGCCTTCGGGGCCGACCTCGTGCTCACGGACCCTGAAGAGGTGAGGGAGAGTGGCGTTTTCTTTTACCCTGAAGAGGTGCGTGAGAGAGTGAACTTAATGGGGTGAATGGGGTGATACTGGCTCGCCGCGTGCTGCTCAAGGCCTTCGGGGCGGACCTCGTCCTCACGGACCCTGAAGAGGTGAGAGATGTTAGTGTTAAGCCCTCAATCGCTTCTAGTTTGAAAACTGTATCTTGTGGGCCGTCCTATCATGTCAACACTTCATTCTTTGACGCATCCATATGATTTTCTCGTCCCTTTTGTTGCGTTGTCGCTAATTTGCTTGACGGCAGGGCATGCGGGGAGCCATCATCAAGGCCAAGGAGATCGTGAGCCAATCAAAGCATGCCTTCATGCCACAGCAGTTTGAGAACGAGGCCAACACCAAGGTGTGTGCAAGGTGTTGTGTGAACGAAAACGAGGTGGGTATACCATTCAGGGCTTGCGTTCAGTAGCTGCGTGCCCTGTGGGCCAAGGAGATCGTGGGCCACTCCAAGCACGCCTTCATGCCACAGCAGTTTGAGAACGAAGCAAACACCAAGGTGGGTGGGAGATGCTGGGCCATTGACACGGTGGGTTTACTTCAAGATGTTGAGTCATTTCAAATTTGCGTTGCACGTATTGGGATGCATTGGGTTTTAGAGGGAAAACAGTTGGATTTCCGAATAATGTAGCAACGTGGATTCGTTCGTGAATAGCATCCCTGTTAATCAAGAACGAAAGTTGGAGCTTGATTGTGGTTACGTAACATCACCGCACTTCACCATATAAGGATGATTGCAGTGCAATACCGCCCATAGAAACAAACAAGCAAATGTTACAGTCGTGCAATGTTACCCACAATATCAAGGCACGGCTTTACATCTGTTGATCATTGTTATGTCTAGACCTGATAGTTGTATGGTTCACGTTGTATGGTGTTCACACCAGCTCCTTCTCACCAACGTCGCTCATTGAGCCCCTCCTTGCATTCGCCCGAAGCAGATTCACTTTGAGACGACAGGGAGGGAGATTTGGGAGGACACGGAGGGGCGAGTTGATGTGGTGGTGTGCGGTATTGGCACTGGTGGCACGGCCATGGGCGTGGGGCAGTATCTCAAGAGCAAGAAGCCGAGCGTCAAGGTGAGGCGGGGTGTTGTGCTCTGGTATGCGGTGGTTTGCGATGTTGGCTCTAACGGCACGGCCATGGGCGTGGGGCAATATCTCAAGAGCAAGAAGCCGAGTGTTAAGGTGAGGACGGGTGTAGTGCCGAAGAGGATGGGCGTACCAGGTGTGTGGTGCGGTGGTGTGCGGTATCGGCACCGGCGGCACGGGTACGGGCGTGGGGCAATATCTCAAAGGCAAGAAGCCAAGTGTAAAGGTGAGGCAGGGTGTAGTGCTGGCAGCAGAAGGTGGGTCTGGAAGGTGTTGGCTCCGGTGGTGTGCGGTGTCGGCACCGGTGGCACGGCCATGGGTGTGGAGCAGTTTATTCAGAGCAAGAAGCTGAGCGTTAAGGTCAGTTGGAGTGTTGTGCCTGCAGCAGAAATGGGGCTCTGGAGGGCGTCGGGAGGCGTGTGGTGTGGTGGTGTGCGGTAGTGGCAGTGGCAGCACGGCCATGGGCGTGGGGCAATATCTCAAGAGCAAAAAGGCGAGCGTCAAGCTGTGTTGGCATCATAAGGGGGGTCTGCACGGGCATGGGCAGGAGTGTGGTGTGGTGGTGTGCGGTAGTGGCAGTGGCGGCACAGCCATGGGCGTGAATCTGTCCCTCAAGGGCATAAAGCCGAGCGTCAAGATGGAGGGGAGGTGTTGTGCTGGCAGCAGAAGGGGGGGTTGGAGGGTGTGGGCAGGTGTGCGGTGGTGGCAGTGGCGGCACAGCCATGGGCGTAAAAACAATTCCTCAAGGGCAAGAAGGAATTTTTGCAAGAATCCGAGCGTCAAGATGATCAGTCTATCTTGAAATCCATTGGTAAATAGAAATGGAATTGAGTTCGATTTGTACAAACGCATCACCGTGCCATCACAGCAGCATACACCAGAGGCATCAGCAGTGTGATTGACATCCCATCATCCCTGTTTCGCATGCCTGCCTGGCTAATGATTGCAGTGGAGCCTGAGGAGTCAACTGTTAAGTCAGCTCGAAAGTCATCAACGGTGTGAACTCCATTCCACCCTGCCATCCGTCCCGTCATCCCATCCCATGCCTGGCAGATGATTGCAGTGGAACCTGAGGAGTCAGACATCCTGTCAGGTGGATACCCAGGTGAGATCAGTGTCTGGTGGATACCCAGGTGAGATTGATATGTGCTCTGCCACGATCACAAATGTGGTGGATAGATGTGTAACGTGATAAATATGATCCTCCATTCACTTTCCTTCTGAGTTGATGGGAATAAGGCCTCTGCACCGCACTGTACCTGTTCACCCTCGACAATGTGGTAGGTGGGTATCATGCAGTACGATCCACTTTATTCACCTTATGTCATGTGGTGTGCAAATAATTGTCAATGAGGTGGTAAAATCATGTGGGCGTATTGTGGTCCCTAAACCCTTGTTTCAAGCAAGTAGCTCATGACCATACACCACACCTCGCCATGTCATACCACGCCTCACCGTGGCCCACCATGCCCTACCGCACTGCACTATGCCCCACCACTCCACACCATGCAGCGCCGCACATGATCTGGGGCATCGGAGTGAGTGGTGTTGTCAACAAACGATGCCCCACCATGCCCCACCGCACTCCACCATGCAGGGCCGCACATGATCCAGGGCATCGGAGCGGGCTTCATTCCGAGAATTCTGGACGAGAGCATGCTTGATGAGGTCATCGCGGTGAGTGCTGATGTCACCACACTGCACCGCACCTTACCGTACCGTACCTCACTTCACTACTCCACACTGCACCACCACCATTCTGGATGAGAGCATGCTCGATGAGGTCATCGCGGTGAGTGTTGATGTCATAAGGCTTCCCTGCTAATGGTGACACCATGCCTTCCTCCTCCCTTCTCTCCCGCATTTTTGGGTCCATTCAGAAATCAAAGGAGGAATCAATTGTATCCAAAGGTTCACAAATGGACCATCTTCCTTTGTGATGACGCCATGCCTTCCCTCCCTCCCTCCATCCGTACCCTCTGCCAGGTCAGCAGTGATGATTCCATCCAGATGGCACGCCAGCTGGCGCTCCAGGAGGGCATGCTGGTGGGTTTCTTCACGCTTGTTGTGCCGCCGTTTTTCCATGTGTCCCAAACACACAAACTCGCGTACACATATGTTTTTTTTTTTTTTTTTTTGCCAGTTACATTGAGCAACTGGATATCCTGGTCAATTGCAAAGCATAAGCTGAAACTTCTCCCCTTGTGCTTCCATCCCCTCGCTAAAAACACACCCCGCTAAAGGGTTTTTACAGAGAGGTTTCTCTGATTGCGTCTTTTTTTTATTGCAATGCCCGGGATCGCAGGTGGGCATATCGTCTGGTGCAGCTGTGGTTGCTGCGATTGAAGTTGCAAAGCGGCCCGAATACGCTGGGAAAATGGTGGTGGTACGTCTTCCTTCCAATCCATCCCAACACCCTTCTCTTTCCCCCTCACCTCTCCCTTCCACTCTCCCCTTCTCACCCCCCTAACCTTCCCCCAAAACCATTCCCAATATTACCGTCGCATTCATCTAATTCTCTTTAACGACCTATTGAGTATAACGATGCCTTTTCTCTCGTCATGTTGTGTTGCAGGCCATTCTGCCAAGTTTCGGCGAAAGGTATTTATCGACTGCACTGTTTGCAAATATATGGGAGGAGGTTATTAAAACGCCAACGTTTTAAAGGGCAAACATAGTGAGTCCCACCATCGGTAGATTGTGTCATTGTATTTATTGTACAAAGATGCTTTCAATGTCATCACGGCATACAGACCTAGCTAATAGGGTGAAAGATGACACAAAGAGTTTTTCAAGTGAGAGAAAGCCATCATGTGCAGAGCCTTGTACCATAATATAACCTTTCACTAAGATTTATTTCTTCATTCCAACCCAACCACCTATGTAAGGCTTTTACGGTATCTGCAGTATGTCCAAGTGAAGTTCGCAGACTGAACCATCTGATTGCGAAACGATAATTCGAGTACAGTACTAACGAAACACACCTTCCAGCTGCGATTGCCGTCAATATCAATGCGATTGCAAACCAGCCCAACACCGGCTTCCGATCATATCCTACTCAACCGGTCTCGAAACTTTTTCGACTGTTCTAGAACGTAGAGCAGCTCACTGCGCCACATTCAGACGCACTATGACCCCCCTCACCTCAGTCCGCCTTACTGAACACACATCCCTCCATCACTTTCCCCCGTGAAAAATTCGCGCAGAAGGTTCTCCGCCTCCCGTAGCAGACCTTCCGCGAGTATTCACTTCCGCTTCCGCCGATGGCAGCGCTCCGCCATCCGCCCTGCACCGCGCTTGCTTCCCCCTGGCTGCGCCCTGACGCGCGCGCGCTGCTGCGCAGACCCGCCGGCGCGGGCGGGGCGGAACGACATGCGCGCAACCCGTCACCGGTCCGCGGAGTGCGGGCCGATTCTCGCCGCGCGGAGAGTGAGGCGCGCGGGAATTGCGCGGACTTGGCGGAACAAGGGGGACTCGGCGTGACGAGGTGGGGCCTGGGGAGAGCGGGGGGCTGCGCCTGAAATTTGTGGCGGGGCGGAGAGACATCTGGCGGAGTTTTGGGGGAAATCCGCGCATGTTCCCCCAGCGTTGACTCTTCCCAGGCGCTTATCCATTCCCGCCTCTCCCCGCACCATCCCTTTTCCCATCCGCAGACGAGCGCTCCTCTCGTCCGCCCTCCCCCTCTCCATTGCACTGGTCGCGCCCCCTGCTCCCGCAGGTGAGTACAACGCCCCTCTCTTTTATTTGAGCAGATCAAAAGGCCCTTCCCCTCTCCCGTACTCTACCTCCTTCCTTCCCTCCCCTCCCCCTCTCCATCTCCCAGCTTCGCGTCCCCTGCGCCCGCAGGTAAGAACCGTGCCCTTCCCCTACTCCCGCAGGTGAGACCCGCCCCTTTGCTCCCATACTTTCTGGGCTGTTTTCTGGTATGCTACTACGAGTGCAAGCGACCATATTCTTGGAATATTTCCTCGTCTCCTTCTCGTCCCCTCCCCTTCCTCTCTTTCCCCCCTCATCAGCCGGACCCCCCTACCCCTACCCCTTCCTCTCTTTCCTTATCCCCCCCCCCTCCCTCCCCCCTCCTCTCCCCCCCTTCCCCCCTCTGTTCGCCAGTCCCGGCCCTCGGCGATCCCTCAGTCACCATTGCTGACGTCACCCGTGACGTCACGCCAGCTGGCAAGCTGCCTGCTGCTGAGGTGAGGGGAGTGAGAGTGGGAATGAGAGTGGAATTGAGATTAGGAGTGAAAGTGGAATTGAGAGTAGGAGTGAGAATGAGAGTGACTGAGATTGGGAGTGAGAGTGGGAGTGAGGGTGGGAGTGAGAGTGGGAGTGAGAGTGAGAGAGTGGTAGTGGGAGTGAGAGTAGGAGTAACAGATGGAGTGAGAGGAGTAGTGAGAGTACGAGTGAGAGTGGGGTTGAGAGTGGGAGTGAGTGAGAGTGGGACTCGCGCCATGCTTCCCCTTCTCCCTCTCCTTACCCCTCTACTCCCCCACTTTCCGTACCGCCTCAGGAAGCAACGGTTGCTCTTTTCAAACGAACCACCTACTCAGTCATCAACATATTCGACGTGACTCTGCGCCCAAGCATGAACACCACGGGGCAGGTGGAGGTGCCCGAGGGGCCGGAGGGCAACGGGTCGGGTGAATGATGATCTAATCATGTGACCTTCCTTCCCTTTCATCCCTTCCCTTTCATCCCTTCCTTTCTACCCCAGGAAGCAACGGTGGCTCTGTTTGAACGCACCACCTACTCAGTGGTGAATATATGTGATGTCACCTTGCGGCCAAGCATGAACACCACGGGGCAGGTGGAGGTGCCGGAGGGGAACGCAGGGAGTGAGTGGTGATGGATAGATGTGCCTCTCCCCCCTCCTCGCCTCCTCCCCTCACCCCACACCACAGGAAGCAACGGCGGCTCTGTTTGAACGAACCACCTACTCAGTGGTGAATATATTCGACGTCACTCTACGCCCCAGCATGAACAGCACGGGGTAGCTGCTGAAGGTGCCTGAGAGGGCACATTGAGTGGAGATGCCTGAAGGGGCATGAACACCACAGGGCAGGTGGAGGTGCCTGAAGGGGCACGAACACCACAGGGCAGGTGGAGGTGCCTGAAGGGGCACGAACACCACAGGGCAGGTGGAGGTGCCTGAAGGGGCATGAACACCACAGGGCAGGTGGAGGTGCCTGAGGGGAACGGGTTGGTCGGCTGAGTGCTGCCCAAATAAAGTGACCTCGCTTCCCTTTCCTCCCTTCCCTACCACTACCCCAGGAAGCAACAGTGGCTCTATTTGAACGAACCACCTATTCAGTGGTGAACATATTCGATGTGACTCTGCGACCAAGCATGAACACCACGGGGCAGGTGGAGGTGCCGGAGGGGAACGGGTCGGGCGTGGTGTGGAACAGCGACGGGTATATTGTTACAAATTACCACGTCGTTGGGAGTGCACTCTCGCAAAACCCCCCTGCTGGAAGGACCATCGCCAGAGTCACCCTGCTCGGGACAGACGGGTGGGTTGAGTGCGGTGGCTGTGAGTGAGGTGTGGTGAAGTGAAGTGGCAACATGGCCGGAGTTTCTCTATTTGGGTTGGACCGATGTGTTGAGTGCGGTGCGGTGTGGTGCAGTGCAGTTCATCGCCATCACTCTAGTTCCTCACCCTTCTCTCCCCTCACCACCAGCTGTCAGCGCAATCTAGCAGGAGTGCTAGTGGGGGTCGATAACAGTCTAAGATATTATTACTCACCTCAAAACTGGTTTTGAGGCGCCTCAAAACTGGAGTGCTAGTGGGGGCAGATAGCAGTCTAAGTTATTACTCACCTCAAAACTGCATGCTCGTATCCTCTCCTCACTCCTCCCTTTCTCACCCGTCTTTCTCTTCAACACAATCTGAAGGGAGTGCTGGTGGGGACTGAGGTGCTAGGGAGGGGTGAGGTGTTTTAGGTACCTCAGTAGTACACACCTCTTCGTACCTCTCCTCACCCCTCCCTACCTCTCCTCACTCCTCCCTTTCTCACCCGTCTTTCTCGTCATCCCACCAGCGTTCATCGCAATCTGAAGGGAGTGCTGGTGGGGGCTGATAGCCGTCTATTGTTTTAGGCACCTCACTACACACCTCTTCGTACCTCTCCTCACCCCTCCCTACCTCTCCTCACCCCTCCCTTCCTCGCTTCACTTTCCCTTCATCCCTCCAGCTTTCAGCGCAATCTGGAGGGAGTGCTGGTAGGGGCTGATCGGACCAAGGACCTGGCAGTGCTCAAGGTGAGACTGTTACCTCAAAGCTCATAAGCCTACAGACGTATTTTGAGTGGCTTAATCCACAGTGTTGGTAGGGGCTGACCGGACCAAGGACCTGGCAGTTCTCAAGGTGAGATAATTAATCTAAAATGCCTGATCCGTCCGCTTCCACTCGGCGACTTCTCCTCACTGCAAGTGGGGAGTTTTGAGGCGCATAAAAAATACACTCGGCGACTTCTCCTCACTGCAAGTGGGGATTTTTGAGGCGCATAAAAAATACACTCGGCGACTTCTCCTCACTGCAAGTGGGGATTTTTGAGGCACATAAAAAATACACTCGGCGACTTCTCCTCACTGCGTGTGGGGCAACACTCGTACGCCATCGGGATCGGCAGCCCCTTTGGCGATGGCGTACAAGTGTTGCCCCACTTGAGTATGGCTTCAACCACACGCTCTTCTTCCCCACTTACCCCTCCATCCCCACGCTTTCCCTCCCCCCATTCCCCCATTCCTCCCCACTTCCAATCCAACCCCACCATGTCTCCGCCCCTCCCAACCTCCTCCTCCTCCTTCCACTCCCTCTCGGCGACTCCTCCTCCCTGCGAGTGGGGCAACGCTCCTACGCCATCGGCAACCCCTTAGGCTTCGACCACACGCTCTTCTTCCCCACTTACCCCTCCCATTCCCCCATTCACCTGCTCCCCACTCCCCTCCTCCCCCACCAGGTCTCCGCCCCTCCCACCCTCCTCCGCCCGCTACCTCTCGGCGACTCCTCCTCCCTGCGAGTGGGGCAGCGATCCTATGCCATCGGCAACCCCTTTGGGTTCGATCACACTCTCTTCTTCCCCTCTTCTCCCTGCCCATCCCTCACCCTCCCTCCCGCCCCCCAGGTCTCTGCCCCTCCCACCCTCCTCCGCCCGCTCCCTCTCGGCGACTCCTCCTCCCTGCGGGTGGGGCAGCAGTCCTATGCCATTGGCAACCCCTTTGGCTTCGACCACACGCTGACAGCGGGGGTGCTGAGTGGGGTGAATCGCGATATCTACAGCGCAGCAGGCGTGGTGATCGCAGGGGGCGTGCAGACAGACGCTACCATCAACCCCGGCAACAGGTGAGTGGGGGCTGGGTGCATGTGTCCATGTGTTTGAGTGTGTGTGGGGGGGGGGGGGATGGGGGTGGGGTGGGGTTGAGGTGGGGGGCGTGCAGACAGACGCTGCCATCAACCCCGGCAACAGGTGAGCGCGGGCTGGGCTTGTGTGGGTGTGCGTGTGTGAGAGTGCGTGTGTGGGTGTGACCACACTCTAACCTCCCTTCTCCCCTCTCCCTCCCAACAGTGGCGGCCCTCTGCTTGACTCGGCTGGCAGGCTCATCGGAATCAACACCGCCATTTACACCAACACCGGCACATCTGCGGGAGTGGGCTTTGCCATTCCTGTATTGGTGGTGGCGCGCGTTGTTCCCCAGATCATCCAGTATGGGAAGGTGAGGAGGGCAGATTCAGTATGGGAGGGTGGGAGGCATAGATTTAGTGCACTTACAGGATGGGAGGTGGTTCCCTTCCTTGCTGGAATTGCAAAGGGAGGGTGATAGTGCATGCTTCGCCATCCCTGTGTCTGTGAACGCATGTGTGGTTCCCCAGATCATACAGTATGGAGTGAGTGCGGAGTGAGCATGCGGCATGGTGCATGGTGGTGGCATTGCCAGTGTGAGTGGTGAGTGTAGCCAGCAGGGTTGCTCAGGCTGGTACTGTTGGCATTGCCTGCCAGGCAGCTGGGCGTGAGTGAGCAGCAGGGTTAACCTGAGCAGAAGAGAGCTGGGTCACTAACTTGTGTTCCCCATCCCCATCCCCATCCCCATCCCCATCCCCATCCCCATCCCCATCCCCATCCCCATGCCCAATTCCAATCCCCATCAGGTGATTCGCCCCACGCTGAACGTACAGCTGGCAGCAGATGGCATTGCCAGGCAGCTGGGCGTGGCAGCAGGCGCACTGGTGCTGGGGGTAAGTGCGGAGTGAGTGTGTGAGTGTGGAGTGAGAGTGTGAGTGTGGGAGTGTGTGGGGTGGAGTGTGGGGGCGAGTGTGCAGTTGGTTGGGACTCTCTGTTATTTTAAGAGAGGAGAGTAGTTCTGGTTTTACAAGCTCTTGGCTAGTAGCTAGTGTTAAGAATTACACTGTCTTTTTCCTACTTGCTCAAGCCTAAACCTACACTGTGAGTGTGGAGTGAGAGTGTGAGTGTGGGAGTGTGTGGGGTGGAGTGTGGGGGCGAGTGTGCAGTTGGTTGGGACTCTCTGTTATTTTAAGAGAGGAGAGTAGTTCCGGTTTTACAAGCTCTTGGCTAGTAGCTAGTGTTAAGAATTACACTGTCTTTTTCCTACTTGCTCAAGCCTAAACCTAAGCGCCGCTGCTCACTGGAAGATGTAAGATGATGGTGAGTGAGAAGTGTGCTTCAATGGTATGAATGTTTAGTTCCTACTTCTGAGCTCGCTGATATGTCTCAAAACTCGAGATGCGTGTTTCGAATGTCATTCTTTAGAGTTGACTCAAAAGTCGTCTCACTATGCTTCGTCCCAGTCTGCCTCCCATCATTTCCTCCTTACCCCTGACCTGACCCATACCTTTTCCATTCTTTACTTCCATCTCCCCGTCTCTCCCCCCGCTCCCCCTCTCCCGCCTCTCTCGCTTCTTCCCCTTTCCCTCTCTCCCACCTCTCTTTCCCTTTCCCTTTTCGACCCTCCTCTCCCTCTTCCCTTCCCCCGGCCCCCTTCCCCAGGTGAAGCCTGGATCGGCAGCGGCCAAGGCAGGGGTGACGGCCACCAGGAGGGGCTTTGCAGGCAACATTGTGCTGGGGGATGTGATAGTGGCGATTGATCAATACACTGTAAGTTATTTGTACCGTTATGATTGAAGCCATTGATGAATGTACTGTATGTGTGAACTATAAAAGTAGAATCTTTGGCTGTACTGCATTGGTTATTTTATTTGTTGGCTGATTTGCTATATTGACTGCCACTCACCCGTCTCTCCCCATCTTGAACCCCCGTGCAATAAAACCATTGATGTATGTACAGGTGAAAATGGCTGCTGATGTGGACAAGGCCTTGGATGACCTATCAGCGGGTCAAACTGTGTCGCTTCAGTTATTGAGAAATGGTGAGAAGGTGACGGTGCAATTTCCTCTTGAAGAGTCTTCATAAGAATCATGTTGTCAACGAATCGTACACATGCACAGAGCGAAGCGAACATCGTGATACATAACATGGTTAGTAGCAGGGCAGGGGCATTAGCTAGAATTGTTCTTTATTGTTTTGAGGGCTCCTTCATTATAGAGGCAGCATCCTTTTTCTGTCAATAATACAGATTCAAGTGTTCGTGCTTTTATATACCATTATATCATGTTTTTCTTATTTTGCGATCTGTTCTCTTTATTGGTTTGATCGATCTCCACTTCTGCCGGAGCCAATACTAGCCTCCAGCGTGGTACCTCTCAACGCGCTCCAATCATCTCACGACTCAATTTCACGAAGTCCTCAAGTAGCGCCATGTCATTCGGGTTACCAATCTCAGCATGACCCAATAGTGGACGTGTCGCGGACCAGATTTCTCCGCGAAGTTCGTTACATTGACGTGTCATGGGGACTAGGAACCAGCTGGGTGCGTGAATCTTAGAAGCCTGTCGCGATTCGCGAGCAAGTTAGTCTGTCAAAGGCACCGAAAGTGCCACAGACTAGCTTTCTCGTGAATGCAACTTCTTCCTGCTGTCATTTGCACGACACTTGTTGGAATTTCGAATTTCGGCGTGTTTCACAAGTGGTCACGACCAATCAAAAGGCCAGTACCACTTGGAACTCCTCGGTAACGCTGATTGGGTTGTGGAAGATGCTCGTCGTACAAGCACAGCATCCCCACTGCGCCACCTACTCGTTTCGCTCAGATGTGTTTCGCCAAACTTCGTCTCGTCAACATCGTTATCGCGAATCTTCTTCTCTCCGTTATTTGGTAACAGCATCATGGGGTCCGTCCAACCACCCGCGCTTGCGCAGCAGGAATGCGCGCACCGACAACGCAGCTGCGTCGAAGCTTCCTCGAAATAGTAGGCATTTCTTAATACGCGCGTCGCAATCGGGCGACGCGCAGACACCCGGTGAAAGAGCATTGAAGGTCATTAGGGATGGTGCGGCAGTAAAGAGCGGAGCGGCCGCCGATAAATTCGGCGGAGGAAACGGCGGGGATGCCGGTGGTAGCAGCGGCAACGCAGCGCAATCGGCGCTGGAACGCGCATTAGCGTATAAGGCTAAGAGGCAGCAGCAGCAGCAGTCAGGATCGAGCGCAATCGCCGCAGCAACACCCGCCGACAGCAATGCTACCGCTTCCGGCGGTAGTAACGCCTCAAGCAGCAGCAATGGCGGCACCGCTGCTACTGCTGCTGCTGTTACTGGCAGTGAATCCAGTGGTAACACAACAAGCAGCATTGTTACCACCGGTAACCCTATCACCAGCACCGTTATGAGTGGTAACCCTACCAGCAGCGGCGTGCGATCATACGCGGATCAGGTAGCGGAGATGGCGGCGGCACTCGCGGCGCGCGAAGCAGAGAAGGGAAACGCGCAGCAGCAGCAGCAACAGGGGGACGAGGAGGGGAAAGCGAAGGCGAAGGGAAAGGAGAAGGAGGAGGACGATAAGGATATTATCGAGGTGGAGATTGTAACGCGGGACGGAGTGATTAAGCGGCGGACTAAGCGGTCCGAGATGGAGTGGGGAGGATCAACCGGCGCCAAGATCGCCAAACCCGGCGGAATCGGCGGCGGAATCGGCGGCGGGATTGGCGGCGGAATTGGCGGCGGAATGATGGGGAATCCCGGGGTGGCCGGGGCGCGCGCGCGTGGCGCGTCGACGCTGTCGATTTCCGGCGCGGATTTTCTCGGATTAGGGTTTCAGGAGGAGCGGGAGAAGCAGCAGGCGCGCGGGAAGGGCCCGCTGCCAGCTGGACTGCAGGCTGACGTGGACTTCGACGCAGCCACGTCAGCAGGGAGTCTGCCGCAAGTGGAGATGATCGTCGGGTCGCGTGTGATTACAAAGAGGGGGGAGGTCCCGGGGGAGCAGCGGCAGGGGGGGGCGCAGGGGGAGGGGGAAGGGGGAGCGGGGGGAGGGGGAGAGGGGGGAGCGGAGAGCGAGTATAAGCCCAAGGTTGCGACATGGGGGGTATTCCCAAGGCCGAGAGACATCTCAAGAACGGTGAGAAAGAGGGAGAGGGTGGGGGGAGAAGGAGGAGGAAGTTGAGGAAATAAATTTCCGTATCTCGAGGACGGTGAGAGACAAGGGGGGGAGAAGGTGGGGGAAATATTTACCGAAGGGTGCGAGGTATCACCACTGCTGATGCCATCTCCACCGTCCTCCACCCCTCTCTTCTCCCCAACAGCCTTCTCATTTCTCTGCATCATCTCCTTTCAGCATGGGGGTGGGCGCACCATCAGGCCGGGGGAAGCACTGGAGACAGAGGAGGAGGAGAGGGAGAGAGAGGGTGTGAGGTGAATGCAACCAATGCAGTGAAGGCTGCAAGATCCCACCTTTGCTGATGCCATCTCCACCGCTCTCCACCACTCTTCCCCTTCATCCCTGTGTCCCTTTCAGTACGGCGGTGGGCGCACCATCAGGCCTGGGGAGGCGCTAGAGACAGAGGAGGAGAAGCGGGAGAGGGGGGAGAAGACACGACGGTTGCTGGATGGATAGATCCGGCATGCTGAAGCCTTGCTGATTCCATCTCCACCGTTCTCCACACCTCTTCCCCTTCATCCTTTTTCCCCTTTAGTACGGGGGAGGGCGCACCATCAGGCCAGGGGAAGCACTGGAGACAGAGGAGGAGAAGAAGGAGAGTGAGGAGAAGACACGACGGCTACTAGACGAGTACAACCGAAGGATGGGCTTTAAGATGGACCCTGCTGTCAAGGCGGAGTGCGAGGAGGTGAGCAGAGGAGAGGAGAGGAGGAGGAGGTGAGATGGTGAGAGAGGGATGCGAGGAGGAGAGGAGAGGACACAACGGCTGCTGGACGAACACAACAGCATTAAGATGGACCCTGCTGTCAAGGCCGCGTGCGAGGAGGTGAGTTGATGTGCCATGTTCCCTGGTGGCCCCTGCTACGCGCGTGGGCTTTAAGATGGACCCTGCTGTGAGGTCAGTTCGTGAGGAGGTGAGTCGGATAAATATCTCCCAGTTCCCGTAGTTTGTGAGGCAGGGAGCAGCGCTGAGTCTTGTAAAAGGTAGTTTGTGACAGAGAGAGGGACAAGCTGAGGGAGGCTCTGGAACATGAGTCAGTGGTAGATCTACGCGGTTAGTTCTCTGTCAACGACCAGGTTTTGTCACAGTCAGTGAGAGCACTCTCCCCCAGAACCCCTAAGAACAGAGACGACTTTTGAGGCGCCTCAAAAGTTTTGTCACAGTCACTGGCTCTGGAACATGAGTCAGTGAGACCACTCTCCCCCAGAACCCCTTTCTCCAAGTAACACTTCCCCCTCCCTCCTCCCCCCTTGTGCCAGGCCATGAGGGAGGGTGCGGCACTGGAAGAGAGGGGCAAGCTAAGGGAGCCGCTGGAGCGTTTTGGTGTGGTGGTGGTGGCCAAAACCACCTTCCAGAACGAGATGCACGCGGTGCTGGTCGCAGCTGGGTACAAAGGATTCTCCTCCTGCCTCTCCCTCCCCCCTCCTCCTGCGCCTTCCCCTCCCCCTCCCCTCCCCCCTTCTTATAGGCCATGCGGGAGGGAGCAACACTCATGGAGAGGGGCAAGTTGAGGGAGGCGTTGGAGCAGTTCGGAGTGGTGGTGGCCAAAACCACCTTCCAGAACGAGATGCACGGCAGAGCGGCCATTCAGCAAGCCGTGTGCCTCGACTCCCTCGCCCGGTGAGTACTGCTGGCGTGAGGACTAACGATTTAGTCGAAGGTTGGGGTTTTGGGATCAGCTATGTGGGGCCTCGGCACAATCCTAAAAACACCACCTTCCAGAACGAGGTGCACGGCAGAGCAGCCATTCAACAAGCTGTGTGCCTCGACTCCCTCGCACGGTGAGAGAGGGTTGCCTGCCGGGTCAGGGGTTCAGCTTTCGGGGTTCAGGGTTCAGCTGTGTGGGCTAGGCCCAAAGCACCACCTGCCATCCAGCAGGCCGTGTGCCTCGACTCGCTCGCACGGTGAGAGCCCTGCCTTGACTCGGGAATGCGGGGCGTGGGTTCAAGTATGGTGTGGGCTTGGCTCAACGCACCACCTTCCAAGACGAGGTGCTCGGCCGGGCGGCCATTCAGCAGGCCGTGTGCCTCGGTTGCTTCTGGTGATTGCAAGTGTGACTCCCTCGCATGGTGAGTGCTGCGAGGGTGTAGCTTGGTTCCCTTTTTCACACTTCCCTCATCTTACCCAAGGTGTCGCTTCTCCTCTGTCCCTCTGACTAGGCGGGACAAGGCCAAAGCGGTATATGCAAGGCCTATGTCATAGGCAGTCATAGGCCTATGTCATAGGCAGTCATAGGCCTATGTCATAGGCAGTCATAGGCCTATGTCATAGGCAGTCATAGGCCTATGTCATAGGCAGTCATAGGCCTATGTCATGTATGAGAGGGTGACAGGCAGATCAGATGCACTCCTTTTGCCTCCATGCTTCCTCCCCCCACCTACGCACACACCTTCCCCCCCTCCCCCACTTCAACCAGTTCGGACGAGGCCAAGCCCATATGAGAGGCTGACAGACAAATGCACTCCCTCCTGCTTCCCTGCTTCCCTGCTTCCCTGCTTCCCCCCTTGAAGCACCTCTGTTCCTCCCTGTCCCCCCTCCCCCCCACTCAGGTCGGACAAGGCCAAGGCTTATGAGCGGCTGACAGGGCATCTTGATTAAGAGGTCTTACATCCCTTCTCCCACCCCCCCACACACACCTTCCCCTCCCCTCATCTCCCCCTTTCCCCCCCATTCACCAGGTCGGACGAGGCTAAGGCCATGTATGAGGGGCTGACAGGGCATCCCAACGAAGGGGTGAAGAGGAATGCCTCTTGCCCCCATGCTTTCCTCCTTCACTCCCTTCAACCACCCTCGCTCCCATTTGCACACCAACTCCTACCCACCCCCAACCAGGTCGGACGAGGCCAAGGCCATGTATGAGCGGCTGACAGGGCATCCCAACGAAGGGGTCAAGCGGAAGGCCCGTCAGATGCTCTTTGGGTTCCAGGTTAGGCTAATGGTTCTTTTCTAAATATATTTCTTCTCTATTGTTTGTGTTGTAGCATTCCCTGTTGCTTCCGCTGCTATTGGAGAAATATTAATATTTCAGCATCAAGGGGTGTTCAGGGTGCGTTTGCACTTTCAGATACCTTTTGTGTCAGCGTGTTGAGCACTTTCAGTCACCCTTCTGTTTATGGGGCACTATATGTTAATTGCTCTAATCATTATTTTTTCTGTTTGATGCGTTCTTGTAACAGGCAGCAGAGAACCTTCGCTTCACTGGTGGCTCAGACTACGACGCGTCGTGGTACAAGAAATACTTTGATGCATTTGCAAAAGGTTCCAAGTATAATAATGTCTACAAGGCAACGCAAGAGGATGAGGAGGAGAGCAATAAACAGCTGGTGCGAGATGCGCTGCTGTATGGGCTCCTGTTGCTCATGCCTGTTGCGCTTATTCTGGCAGCGGCGGCAACAAGGAATGCGACCTGATGGTTTTCTGCTCACTATCGTATTGCGATTGTTGGGAATACACTGCTAGTGTGCTGTGCTGGCCTTCAGGGGATCATTCCTACCGAGGCTGTTCTTTGAAAAGACAGATTGCTGAGTAATGCATATTGCTCGAATTTCCCCTCATCTGCCCACAAGATCTCCCTGCAGCCCCTCATCCTCCCATGTTGGTACTACATGATACGTTTGTATATATTGGGCTACATGATTGTTCTCATTGCTACAACTTCAATATCAGTGCACGTGCGATCAGAAGGTCACAACATGTTTGGTTGCTAACATGAGGTTTTGTTACGAGTGCAATTGAGTGAGCGAGCGAGAATTGCACTATCGAAGCAAAAAGTACCATGAGCGAAGGCATGAGCGAAGAATATATAGCGAAACTACAGTGGTAACGGTAATGTGTGGAAATTGGGGTGCGCGACGGGCCTGGTGCCGAGGTTGGGAAAGTGTCGAGGCGGAGGTCCGGAGCGCGGGTTACCAACCGAACCGTGAGGTTGGGTCGCGTCGTGAACGATGGCGGGAATGGTGTCGAGGCGAGTGTCGCGAGTGGTAACGGATTACTGTTGGGTGCTGTGGGTGGGAACAGTGGTGTACGCGCTGAGCAGGGACGCGAAGTAAGGAAAAGGAAATTTCCTTACACTACCCCCCTCCCTAAGGAGGCCCCTCTTACGAGAGCGCGTGTACATCTCGGAAGTTTCGGCTTCGCAGATACTCGGTGAGGACAGGGTGATTCTCAATTCTATCCAGGGGGACCCAGTTGTCTTCGGTGGGCGTGCGGTCCTTCCAGCGGATCAGGAATTCGATTCTGCGGGCTCCCCGTGGGTCACGTATTCGATGGCTTAGTATTTTCTCAGGCGTGATGATTGGCTCAGTCGGTGGTCGGGTCATGCTGGCGGGGCGATTGCGAGGCAGTTGGCTGGTGGATGGCATGTATGGGCGAAGCAGGCTGACGTGGAATGACGGGCTGACGTACCAGTCAGCAAGGAGGAGGAGGTGGGCGGTGACGGGTGTGATCATGTGGCTGATGCGAAATGGCCCGCAATATCGGGGGCGGAGTTTCGGGGTGATGGGCAGGCGGAGGTTTTGGGTGTCGAGTAGGACTAGGTCGTCTGGCTGGTAAGTGACGGGGCGGCGGTGTCGGTCGGCGTTGCGCTTAGCGATGACGTTTGATTTTTTTATTGCTTCTGCTGCTCGGGTCCGTGCTGCTTGTAATATCTCTGCGAACTGTTGTGCGCGTGGGACTGGGTTGTCGGGATTCGGGGTCATGGGTACTGTGGGGTCTTGTCCGTAGTTCAGGTAAAACCGTGACTGTTGGGTCGTGGCGGATGGTGAGTTATTGTATGCGAATTCGATGAGTGGCAGTTGTTGTTCCCACGTGGTCGGGTCGTCGCACGTGGCCCGGATGAGCTGTTCCATGGTCTGATTTGTCCGTTCTGTCTGTCCGTCGGTTTCGGGGTGGTACGATGAACTGAATTGTAGTCGCGTGCCGAACTGCTGCCACAGGTTCCGCCAGAAGTTGCTGGTGAATTTCGTGTCTCTGTCGCTGATGATTGATGCTGGTATCCCGTGCAGTCGTACGACGGTGGCGATGAAGAGGCGGGCTGTTTCTTCGGCTGTGATTGATTTCTTGCAGGCTGCGAAGTGTGCCATTTTCGTCAGTCGATCGACGACGACCAGGATCGCGTCATTCCCACTCGCTCCGGCCGGTAACCCCGTGACGAAGTCCATCGTCACCTGCTGCCAAGCACGCTCTGGGGGTGGTATCGGCTGCAACTGTCCTGCCGGCCGCTTCCGTGATGACTTCATGATCTGGCAAGTGGGACACGATGCCACGTGTCTTTGCACGTCGGTCAGCATCTCGGGCCAATAGTAATACCGCTGCAGCTGCTGCCGTGTTTTTTCTACCCCGAAATGTCCCGAGGTAATTCCGTCGTGTGCCTCCTGTAACAGTAATTCCCGTAGCAGTGTGTACCTCGGTACCCAAATGCGGTCGGTCCCGGCTTTTACGTAATAGACTCCCTTTGCTGCTGCGAACTGCTGCGAATTTCCTCCTGTGAAGAATGGGTCCGTTTGGTACCCGTGGGTAAATAGTCCTGTCAGTAGCGGGCTGGTCTGGGCGAGTAGTATCGCATGGATTTGGGCAGTGGGGCGGGTCAGTGCGTCAGCGATGTTGGATGCTCCTTTTTTGTAGGTGACTGTGTAGTGGAAGTTGGACTCGAGAAAATCGAGCCAGCGGATATGTCGGGGGTTGAGGTGGGGCTGTGCGCGGAGGTACTGTAGTGATCTGTGGTCTGTCCGTACTGTCACTTCTGCACCGGTCAAATAACAGCGCCAAACCTTGAACGCATGCACGATCGCGAGCATTTCGCGGTCGTGTATCGGGTAATTCTTTTCGGGCGGATGCAACTTTCGTGACTCGTAGGCGATGGGCTGTAGGCCGTTGCCGAAATCCTGTAGTAGTACGGCTCCAATGGCGATGTCGCTTGCGTCGGTTACTACTTCGAAAGGGCGGTGTGGGTCAGCGATGCGCAGTACGGGCGGTGAACAGAGATCAGTTTTCAGGGCAGAGAAGGCAGCATGCTCTTTCTCCCCCCACGTAAAAGTGACCCCCTTCCGCAGCAGATCCGTCAGTGGGGCTGTTAATTGTGCCATGTCGGGGACGAACCGACGTACATAATTGACGAACCCTAAAAAAACTCTGCAGCTCCGTGATGTTTGTCGGGGGATGCCATGCTTTTACCGTGTCCAGCTTCTTCGGGTCGATTTCAACCCCAGCCTCCGAAATTACGTGCCCCAAAAATTCTAACCTATCCTGGAAGAACTCGCACTTGGAACCCTTGGTCAGTAGGCGGTGCCCGTCTAAAATCTTAAAAACTGCTTCCAGATCGGCTAAGTGCTGCTGCTTGTCGCGACTGGAAACGAGGATGTCGTTGAGGTAAACTATCACGCATTTATCTAAAAGTGGTCTAAACGCCTCGTTCATGGTCATCTGAAATGTTGCCGGTGCGTTGGTCAAGCCAAATGGCATCACTGAGTACTCAAACGACCCGTACCTAGTCCTAAATGTTGTCTTGGCGCAGCCTGATGGTTCGACCCTAATCTGATGGTAACCTCCCCGTAAATCTATTTTCGAAAAAAACCCGTGCTGTTCGCAGTTGGTCTATCAGTTCGTCGACGCGGGGAATGGGGTATCGCGACTTGACTGTTACCCGGTTCAGTGCCCTGTAATCGATGCACATGCGAAACCCTCCATCGGTGTGAACAGGATCGGTGCGGCGAACGGTGACGAGCTCGGTCGGATGAATTTTTTCTCTAATAGGTAATCTAACTGCTTCCTCAGTTCGTCGAGCTCGGGTTGTGTCAGTCTGAACTGTCGCTGTACGGTTGGCTGTGCCCCCGGTTCTAACTCTATGCGATGGTCGTGTGCCCGCTGAGGTGGCAGTCCCCCCGGTAAATCATCCGGAAAAATCCCCGGGTACCGTTTCAACAGTTCCTGCAGTTCGGGCGGTACCGCTGCCAGCAGTTTCTGAAAATCACTCGGCTGCTCTGCTTCTCCTATCAATGCTATATTCACTGCGTACACGTCAGCTCCAGCGGCGACAGCCCGTTTCATCGTGATGGCGTTGACGTGGACCGTTGAAGACTCGGGCGACTGCCAGCGAGGTAGCGCGACCCAGTTACCGCTACTTCGCACTGTGCAGCTACCCGTCGTCCAGTCAATTCGCGGGTTATACCGTCGCAGCCAATCACGTCCCAGTAAAATGTCGTGCCCATCCAATGTCATCGCGAGCATTTCCTGTGTAAACCCAAAGTTCCCTCCGCAGCGGACCTCTATTCTCTCCACCTTCTCCCGTATGGCCAGCGGCGTTCCGTCCACTAAGCGTGCATCTATTTCCGGTAAACACCGACTAAGTGTCAGTTGCAGCTTCCGTGCGGTTGCGGTATTAACTAAGCTGTGGCTTGCTCCTCCGTCTATAAAGATCTTCACTGCTGCTCCCTGTATTTTCCCGTAAATCAGTACTGGGCAATCCGTCGCTGTACCCTCCTTAGTCATCCGAGCCCGATCGATAGCGTGAATCGGTACTGTGACTCGGTGAGGGTCGGTGCGGTTGGGCGAGCAGGCAGTCTCGTCAGTAGTTGGCCCAACTTCTACTGACTGCTGGCGTTTCCCTGCCTCTGAGACTCCCTCCCCTGCTCTGCTCCGCGGCGCCTCAGCTCCTCTGGGCATTCGCTCTTGCGATGGCCCGGCCTGTTGCAAGCAAAGCAGCGCCCCTTAAACGGTGCAGCAACTGCATTCGTCGCAACGGCGTGTACAGTGGCGTGCTCGGTCGGTCCCCGAGGACGATGTCCGTAGTAGGACCTCGGTCTCGGTCGGCGTAGAATGTCGATTTTCTCGGCGAGCGCGAGAATCTCGTTGAAGTTCGAGAGTCCGCGCAGCATGATCTCGTGCGAGATATCCGGCTTCAGCCCTCCAACGTAACGGTCCACCCGCTCCGCTTCGTGCATGTAGCCGACTTGCTCGCAAAGTGCGAGAAAACCACTCGTGTAATCTTGAACCGACCCGAGCTGCCGCCAAGTGCGCAATCTCTGACGCGCCGAAATAGAAGCCGCGATTGGCTCGAAGCGCGCCCGAAGCCCTGCGCACCACGCATCCCACGTGCTGTATTGGGCGGTCTCGCAAAATGAACTCCAGGTGACAGCTGGACCCGTGGGCCCTTCCTCTTGCGACGGTGGCTCGTAGGCGCGTGGCGACGTCACGATGACTCGCCACCAGTCCATGGCGGGGCCCCTTAGCAGCGAAACGGCATACCGAATCTTCGCTGCGTCCGACTCGACGTAATTCGCGTCGAAGAAGACGTTCATCGTGAAGACCCACGATTGAACCGTCGGACCTCCACGCTGGCTCGGGTCGAAGTAGGGCGGGCGTTGCGGCTTGAGTGGCATTGGTGCCATAATGGCCTGTTCGCCACTTGTCGCCG